CATGACCAAGGCAGCTCTTTAGGAAGCAATTATTGGAGCTTACTTACAGTTTCAGAGGCTTAGTCCATTACCATGGCAGGAAGCATGGCGGCAAGCAGACAGGCATGGTCCTGGAGAAGTAGCTGAGAGCTTTACATCCTGATCCTCAGGCAGCAGGCAGAGAGAGGGCTGGGAGCAGGCACTGGACATGGCACGGGCTTTGAAACCTCAAAGGCTGTCCTCAGCGACACACCTCCTCCAACAAGGACACACTTTCCAATCCTTCCAAGCAGTTCCACTGGGGACTAAGCAAACATATGTGCCTGTGGGAGCTAATATCCTTCAAACCACCACAAAGTCTAGTATGGCAGGGAAGGCTAGGCAGCAGGAATGTTATCAAAATGAATCTTTGGTCAGGAAGCACCAAGAAACAATGAGATCTTCAACTTGATTTCTCCTTTTTATTCTTTCATGGATTCCTGTCTATGGCACGGTGCCACCCATAGTCAGGGTAGATCGTCCCTTCTCAGTGAAACCCAGAACTCTGTTTCCATAGTGATATGAAACCCAGTTGACAGGAACATTTAACCATTTCAGCTCTGTGTCTTGTCAACTTGACATTCAGACACATCACTATAAGGGCTGGAGAGATGGCTCATCACTTAAGGCACTTGTTTTTGCAGAGGACCTAGATTTGATTCCCAGCACCTACACGGTAGCTCATAACTACCTGTAAGTCAGTTCAGGATATCTGATACTCTCTTCTGACATACATATGAGCAAAACACTCATAAACAAAAAAATAAATCAAAGGCATATCACTATAAATCATATTATTCCATTCTTGACTTGTAAAGTCTCATTTTCATCTAATAATGTGAAATGCATAAATATCCCCATAATCTTCAGCTGTTCCAACTTCATCCTAAGGTCCAAAGTTTCTTCTGAGCCTAAAGTAATTTAAATGTGAGCCCCTAAAGTCATAACCACATTACATTTTTTCAGTAGATAATGGCACAGAGTAAACATTCTCATCCCATTAAGGAGGAAAGGGGTCATAGCTAGGAAAGATCAGATCAAAGCAAATGTGAAATCTAGCAAGGTAGATGCCAAATGTTGCAGTTCTGTGTCTGGCATCATCGGTTCCTATTGGATTCATCTCAGCATCAAAGGGTTTGGGCAGACCCACACTCCAGATCTGCTTCCTGCAGCACGCAGAGCCTCTGTCTTGAACTGGCTGTTTTCTGTGTCTTCAGCTTTCCTTAGTAGGTGTTCCATGTTGTGTTATCTCCAACATCCTAGGGTCTCCATTACAACTTAGGCTTCACCTTCCAACTTTATGCAGTGACTTCTCAGGTTCTCCTTGCAGGGATTCCACCCCTGCCTGGAAGTCTTACAATCTTTCATGCCTGCAAAACCAGTCTAAGTGGACAGTGCTGCCAGTTTGAGATGGAGCCTTGGATCACAGTTCAATTAGCCTTTGTGTGTTGATACATGGCTTGGGTTTATGTATACTTCCCATGGCAGCTGTTTTTGAGCAAGCAATTCCTTCAGTGGCATTTTCAGTTTAGGCTCCCTTCTTTAAAATGAATTTGCATTTCACTAGAGTTTTCCATAGGTGGGTCTTGCCTTCCTGGTACCTTTCCTATGCAGAATGCTAGGTTTTTGTTTGTTTTGTTTTTAACAACTGTACAGCTGTTTTCTCAGCAGCCTTGTCTGTAACTTCATATGCATTCCTTTTCCCACCAACAACACATTTTCCATATCTTCCTGCTCTGTCTGTTGCTCTTATTCAGTGTAGACCTAACCATGAACAATCAGTAGTAATCATGCCACAGCCCTCATGCTGGCTTGTCTTGAAATTTTTGCTGCCAAATAGAATTAATACATTACTTTAAAATTCATCCCTACTGAAGGTTTCAGGACATAGACAAATGCAGCAGATTCTTTGCCAAAATATAACATGAGGCTTTTAGCTCTGTTCCTTACAGAGTTCTTGTTGAATAAAATCTCCACTTCTGGAGCTGGAGAGATGGCTCAATGGGTAAGAGCACTGACTGTTCTTCCATAGGATCTGGGTTCAATTCCCAGCACCCACATGGCATTTCACAACTGTCTGTAACTCTTGTTCCGGGGATCCGACACCCTCATACAGACATACATGTGGACAAAACACCAATGCACATAAAATACAGATAAAAAATTAAATCTCAACTCCTTCATATAGTCCACCATATACTAATTGCACAATGTTATCTTGGTCATAGTTCATTTCACTCTAGACATTTGGATAAATAATTTAATTTCTGTCATCAGAGAGGCGTCATCCAGCAACTGATGGAAACAGATGCAGATCCACAGCCAAACATTAGGCATCACTCAGGGAATCCTGCAGAAGAGGGGAAGAAAGAATTATAGGAGCCAGAGGAGTCAAGGATACCACAAGAAAACTCACAGAATCAACTAACCTGGGCTCATGGGGGCTCACAGAGACTGAACTGACAACCAGGGAGCCTGCATGGGACTGACCTAGGTACTCTGCATATAGGTGACAGTTGTGTAGCTTGGTCCTCTTGTGGGACTCCTAACAGTGGGAACAGGGGCTGACTCTGACTCTTTTACTGGCTTTTGGGACTCAACTTCTCATACTGGGTCGCCTTGCCCAGCCTTAATACATAGGAGAATGCTTAGTCTTCCTGCAACTTGATATGCCGCGTTTTGTTGATACTCATGGGAGACCTGCCCTTTCCTAAACAGAAACGGAGGAGTAGATTGGGGGTGGGAACAGAGAGAGGGTTTTGGGGAGGGACTGGGAGAAGATGGAGGGCAAACTGCGGCTGGAATGTAAAATAAATAAATTAATTAAAAAACGTTTTTATTTCCTTGAGTAGGTATTGCTCATATCAGAACATTTCTGTTTCCTTAATTTTTTTTTTTTCAGTTTCTGTCCATTTTCTTTGGTAGAGTGCCTAGCATTCTTTAACATTTAAGCATAAAGGTTGTTAACAGCTTAGGCAGGAAAGGTTCATTTTCAGCTTCTGGTTTCAGGGTTTAGTCCATCTTGGTGGGACAGGAACGAGGGAACAGCTGCATGGCAGCTGCCAGGGTGCTCACAGAGCTGCTGAATCCGGAAGCAAAGAGCAGGAAGCAAAGAGCAGCAGGGATGAAAAGCAGGGATGAAAAGCAAGGCTGGGCTATGACCTTTACAGCCGACTCCTAGTTACCCGCCTGCACCAGCAGGTCCTACAGCCCTGCAGAACAGCCTGGGTGGGGTGTTAATGTCCAGACTTGTAACAGTCATCTTCATAGCAAAACCCTTCCTGACATGGTTCAGAAGGAACGACAGTATCGGTTCTCCTTCCTGTCTCTCTTGAGCGAGAACCATTTCATGTTTGCTGATGTGCCTCTGATTCCTACCAGCATAGTTGCTTTGTTAAATGTTCCATAAATGTTGGTTGACGTATTATTACTGATTTAAAGAAATATGTATTCTTCATACCTTAAGTTGTTTTTCTTAATTAACATGTTCCCATGGAAGTTCTCCTAGGACTTGGACCTTCTTCCCTTTAGGTTCCCCAAGTAGCTGCTACAGACATTCTTTAAATTCTTTTGGAAATTCCCTGTATTATTGTGAAAATAAGTGAGCATTTTGTTTTCTGTTTCCTAATATTATTGTATTTGTTAAGTAATGAAATGGTGTCTAAAAGTGCTTCCTATGACATCAAATAGACTCTTCTGATTAAACACTTGTGATTAACACTTTAGCTATTCTTCATTTGATATTGTTTAAAGTCTGGGTGGTAGCCTGTTATACCCCTGCAAAAACTATCCCATGGTATGAGGACTGAACATACTTTTTAGATATTGTCAGATGTGTGTGTGTGTGTGTGTGTGTGTGTGTGTGTGTGTGTGAGAGAGAGAGAGAGAGAGAGAGAGAGAGAGAGAGATGAAGCAAAAATTGGAAAGTACTTGCATTTATCAGGCTTTCTATTGATGTTGTTTGTTGAGGATGTGAGTTTCCTGTATTTACAGATAAGCACTGGAGAAACCAGGAAGGTTAAACACATAGGCTTTTCTCTTCAAAGGAAGGAGATGTTTACCTGTTTCGCACCCAGAAAACTGGGAATGGATGTAGTTTATAACCTGGTGGTTTTTTGCTATCTGTAGGGCCACACCTCACCTGAATCCCCCAGACTAACTTGTTTGCCACAGTCACTCTTCCAAACCCTTATCTTGAGCGTGTTTCTGAGTCAATAGAACTGATCTTTATGGAAGAGGTCATATGTACTTTGTGAAGAGTTTCACTGTAAGATTGTCTTAAGCTTTGTTGTACATGTGGGATTGGGCTAATTATCATCAGGAAACTTCTTTTCCAAAATTGTGCTCTGCTTAAATATGGCTAACATAAACTGCTTGAGGTCAGACTCTAGAATTCTGAACCAACACTGGCAAAGATGCACTGAACCAGATTTCCTTCTTGCCTCAAGAGGATTGTTCTCTGCCAGTCCTGGTGTTTGCGGAGACCCCCACAGTTGTTGTCATTAAATACAGCTGTTTATCTACATGTTAGAGATAAGATAAAATAAGAGTATCATTTCCTCTTAGTTTTAATATGTTTTCTAAATTACTGCATGCTAAAGCACAAGCACACGTAATTCAGAAAGTGGTTGCCTCTGTGCTGAGATCTGCAGATGCACATTCACCTTCCACCAACTGTGGGAAAGCATAGGTGAGTTGCTAGGAATCAAACAGCTGTACATATTTGTGAGGACGATTATAGGTTGTCTGATGTAATTCCAAAGAAAATCCCAATATAAGTGAAGTAGGCTTTACTTTTTAATGTGTCATCGAGAACTGCTAGACATTTGGTTTTTTACTTATAATGTTTGTAACTAATTAAATTTTGTGAAGTAATGAAATTCAGAATTCTAGGAGATACTCAACTTGTTACAGTTTGTAATAAATTCATGTATTATACAACATTTAGAACCATATGTATTAATTATTTGTGTATATAACAGGCATCTCAGAGTTATGTTGACGAATGTTCTATGGACGGATTTAGGACGAAAATTCAGAAAGACCCTACCTAGAAATGATGCTAATTTATGTGATACCAGCAAGGTGCAATCAGACTCATTGCCTTCGACATCTGTTGACAGCATAGAGACATGTCAAAAATTAGATCCTCTTCACCAAAGCCTTAATTTATCTGAAAGGTATGTTACTGAGTATTGATTTTGTTTAATTTACTACATGTGAAATAGTATAAATCCAATATTCTTGAAGACAAGATTGTTGGAAATGATACTGAAGATCAGTACATACAGGTTTGTTTCACTCCAGAACAAACCTTACAGTTTTACACCCTGATTTTCAGTTAAATGATGGTTCTGTACGTCACTAAGGAGATTGACAAGGGTTTGAAAAAGGCTTTTTATTCCATTTAACTTATTTACTTTATGATTAATTGATGTCTATATTTTAGGAATTTTATGATATAAAAGATAATATGTATGCATATTTGTATATATGTGCATATTCATGTTGGTTTGCATACTTTATTTTTTACCTTTTACTTTAAAAATTATTTTTAAAATTTTACATGTATACTGTGTTTGCATCATTTCCCCTCCTCTTTTTATGCCCTTCAAACACTTTCAGGTTCTACGCACTCCCTCTCAAATTCATGGCTTATTTTCCTTTAATTATTAGTATTGCAAGTATATATATGTATATATATATATATATACACACACACACATGTATACGTATATGGATGCATAGACAAATAAAATTTGCTGAGTTCTTTTAGTGTACTTGTATGGATATGTTTTTTAGGCTGACCACTTTTATTTTGGATAACCAAATAGGGGGTCCTGAGGAAGACTATTTCTCCCCCTGTTAGCATTTAAAATGACGTATGGCTCTTCATGTAGGGATGGGGACCCCGTTCAGGTCTAGTTTAGGCAGCCATATTGTTGAGACTGCACAAGTGCAGCAGCTTCCCTGCTACATAGAGAAGATGCTGTCCTGCAGCAGAAGGTCTGATCCTCTGGCTCTCACAGCCTTTCTGCTTCTTCACTTGTGGTGTTCCTTGAGCCTTAGATGTTGGGGTTGTGTTGTAGATGCATCAGGTGGGGCTGGGTACTTCATGCTCAGTTGTTCTCTGCATTTTGACCGGTTTTGGCTTTCTGTAATGGCCTGTGTCTGCCGCAAAAATAAGCTTCTCTGACGAGGAATGAAAACTACACTCCTCTGTGAGTGTATAAAACTAAGTATTAAGGAGGCAGGTAGAGATTAGACTAGCTTGGGGAAGTGGCAGTAGTAGATTCTCTCCTCTAGGTTCCATGACTTAACCAGCCCTCCGTGGTTGCCTAGGTTTACAGTACCAGGCATGAATTCCCTCTTATTCAGTAGGTCTTAAGTCCAATTAGGTGGCTGTTGTTCACTCCCAGGAATAAGTGCCACCATTGCATCCTTGGGGAACTCCTGCAGTGCTGGTCATTGTTATGGTTCACAGGCTTTACAGCTGGGTAGGACTGTTGCTTTTCTCCCTTGGCAGCTTGCATAGCACCTTCAGATACTGTGAGAACCAGTCTTCAGGGAGGAGGCTTCCAGGTCAGATCCACCTGGATTTCTCCAAGTCCTGTGTCTGAAGCGTCTGGTGTCGTCAGCATAGGGTCTCACCTTCACGTTCTGGAAGGCAGCCAGGGCAATGACAATAGCCTATTTTGTTTTGGAGTCTCATGGGTTCTCCTAAACAACAGTTTTGAAGGGAGTTTCCCAGGCCTGGGACTGGGTCTTTTGTTAGTCTGTGGCTCTTGGGGGGAACATTATCACCACAAGTGGTATAGCTTTCTGTAATTGCTATATATATATATATATATAACTGTATATATGAATAGATCTCCATGTACACTCACATATATGTAATTTTGAGTAACACTAAAACAGCATGATTGCCTATGGCTTTTCCAGCTATCCACAGTGTTACTTACCCCCTTTCTGTGTTGCTATCCCTTCCACCGTGACAGCCCCCACTCCCCATCCCCCGTTTCATAGCACCTGGGTTCTGCCTCTTCTCTTCTAGAGCTCTTCCACCACTACGATCCCTTTTTATTCTTTTGTTTTCTAAATTGTAGCATATATTTTAAACATAGTTTAATCTGGATCCTCATTACTTTTGGTTTTGTGAGGGTTCTCATATTTTACACACATTGATTTAGTATAAGAAATGATATTAAAATATGACTTCCAAAGTTTAAATAGTAAATATTCAGTTTATTTTTTAGAAGTAACAAGACAAAACTCTGTGATTTTGAAAAAAATTATTTATTTTTTATTTGTGTATATGTGCATATGCCCACAGACATCTGAAGAAAGTGTTAACTGTCCTGGAGCTGGAGTTACAGATACTGTGATCCGCCATGTGGGTGCTGGGGACTGAACTCTAGTCATCTCCAAGAGCAGCGAGCTCCCTTAATCACTGAGCTGTATCTCCAGCCTCCGATTTTTTTTTTTAATTGTATGTAGGGTTTGGTGCTAAAAAGTAGGAATTAGGAATTTTTAATATGTAATGTAATACTTTATATTTCCATTTACAGTTTTAGCTCTCAAATAAATATTTTTTTTTTATTTTTATTTTTTTTTTTGGTTTTTCGAGACAGGGTTTCTCTGTGTAGCTTTGCGCCTTTCCTGGGACTCACTTGGTAGCCCAGGCTGGCCTCGAACTCACAGAGATCCGCCTGGCTCTGCCTCCCGAGTGCTGGGATTAAAGGCGTGCGCCACCACAAATAAATATTTTTTTAGGGTTGGTACATTGTTTAGAGTCAGAATAACTTGCCCTTTACCATGGGAGTGCTTTGATATTATGCTCTATAATCTGGAATTTTCTCTTTCTTTCTATTTGGAGACAGGTTCTCATTATGTCCTCACTTTGTAACTCTGGCTTGCCTGGAACTCTCTATAGAGACCAGGCTGGCCTTGAACTCACAAAGATCTGTCTGCCACTATGGTGTGTAATCTGGATGACAGTAAATTTAAGCTAAAATCCAGATAAAACTAACTTTAAGCAGTTATTTTGAAAAATAAAAATGTTACTTTCTTAAAACATCCAAACGTAAGTCTCTGTCTATGTCTCTCTCTTACACACACACACACACACACACACACACACACACACACACACACACACACGCTAAATAAAGAACATTTGGGGCTAGAAAGATGGTTCAGTGGTTAAGAGCACTGGCTACTCTTTCTGAGGACCCGCTTTGGATTCTCAGCACTCATGTAGTTATAATTGTTTGTAACTCCAGTTCTAGGGGATCTATTGCCCTCTTCTGGCCTCAGTGAACACTAGGCATGGACATGTTGCACAGCCATACATGCAGGCAAAACATTCATATCATAAAACAATAACATAATAAATTTAAAATGAATACTTCTTTTAAAGGATAAAATCATAAAATGTTTACTGAGACTGTCCTAATAAATCATATTTGATAGAAATTTAACTTTTTAAAACAGAACACCAAATAGTTTGTATAAGTTTAAATCAGTTTGTTCTTAGTGTTTTGATTACTAGCATTAATCTTTTGAGGTATTAGAAAGCTAATCTCAGCTGGGCAGTGGTGGCGCACGCCTTTAGTCCCAGTACTTGGGAGGCAGAACCAGGTGGATCTCTGTGAGTTTGAGGCCAGCCTGGGCTACAGAGCAAGATCCAAGACAGGCACCAAAACTACACAGAGACACCCTGTCTCAAAAAACAAAAAACAAACAAAAAAACAACAACAAAAAAGAAAACTAATTTCTAACAGTGCTGATATGTAAAGGGTTAGTTAGAAGAATGACTTTAATGGTATTTCTGACTCTTCTGGAAGGAAGCTTCGATTTTCCTCCAGATGACAACAAAATTGTTAGTCCCCCCACCCTCATACTTTATGACAACTGTGTAGTGTTCCATTCTTTCTGAAGAATAGTTTTTCCCAAGAATTGTTACCAGCTAAATGACGTGTTCATGAAGCGGTAGTATAAGGAGTTTGCTCTCCCCCTCTCCTCCTTCCCTCCCATCCAGTTCCCGGCATCCAGCTAATCCAGTCCTCTTTGCTAAGGTCTAGGCCGACTGAACTCAGACTTACTCCAAACTACAAACATAATCTTTATTCTCAACTCATTCTTAATGTTTGTATCCCTTTGCTATCTGGTGAATGGCCCACCCGTATACTCAGTTCTGTAAATTAGATCTTGGGAATGGCCCTTAACTCCCTGCCCCCTTTTTTTCATCCCTTACATCCCATCATTTACTCTATTTAGCTATTTTGATTTCAAACTAAATCTATATTGAAGTAATGTTTCATGTTTATTTCCAGCACTCCAGTCAAAGCCCTAATAATACTGTGTCTTTATTATTTTGATAGTAACTAGTTTGGGCTTCCTGTGCATATACTTTTTCTTATAAAGTCATTCCTTCTCTTTATTTTAAAAGTCAGGTGGTACTTGTTACTTTCAAGGTAAAGTTGCTGTAGTTGGGCACACAGGACCTTATGACTGACACTCTGACTGTGTCTCCTGTGTCTGTTTGCTCCTCCACGTTTACGTTCTTCCTGGGGAACTGTTTACATCTCACTGAATGCCATGTGCTGTTTCAGACATGTTCTCAATCCTTTATCTTGTAAACAGTCTCCTCTTCCATTTTTACTTATTTCTGCTGGCTCTGAACATTGAGCTCGTTCATCTTTGACTCCCATCTTAGGTAGCTACACTTGATCCACTCCCACCCCCCCATCCTGTTTAATAGCCTATTATTCATCATAGTACTCATATTGTGATTTTTAGCTTCTTTGTATCCTTGACAGTAAACTTTGTGAGAATGAGAACTACATTACAGTTTATTCTTCTCTCCTAGTATAGTACTAGGCATATACTCAATAATAAGTATTTGCTGAATAAAAAAAAGCAATTACTTCTTAACAGAGATATATCTTCAGACCTTTATTGATGCATATTTTCCTCCATCAGAATGAATTTTCGACTCTGTAATTTTGATGACAACCAGGAAAAGAGATTGCAAGCCTCAAATAAAGAAATTGGAGAACTCTTTTGGGTACGGCTCTGGATGAATGTGTTCTGAGACTCACTGTTTTCAGTAGGAGGTCTGCGTCTCCTTCAGTCTGCCTGGAGTTTGACATGAGGCCTTTTTTTTTTTTTTTTTTTT